TAATAAAAAAAAAAGAAATAACTGCCGAATTTGACTGATTGGATGTTTTATTAAGGTTAATCCTTGAAGGTCCAGAAAAGAGGGCTGAGAAAGATTTATAAGCAGTGCTAGTAATTAATTGATTTATCACTTGCAAAAGGAATAATCTTGAAATTTACCTTGTTTTCTTTTTCTTTTTTCTTTCTCTTTTTGTTGTAGATCTACTTTTGTTGATGCAGAAATGACATTTCTGGAATGAAAGGCACTTTGAAAAACTTTGGGGAAAATTATTTGCTGTCAAGAAATCTGCTGGTATCTTTTCTTAGATCCAATAGTACATTAACATTTTTTTACAAAAATTTGCGAAGTCACCCTGAATGCAAAGTCACCCCTTTTAGCTAGCCATACCAAAGAGATTTTATTTACAGTAGCTAGGCCTATTGTAAATTCTCTGATAATAGCCTACGCCCCCTAGCCTACACTGGTTCCACCAGTCGGATTAATAGCACAATAGCCAGTGCACAAATAGTATGCCAAGTTGGCGTTAAAACTATCAGGCATTTTCATATTCAATAAGAATGCAAGTAGAGTTGAAAAACCCTATCAAGTTTTTTAAAAATGTGTTGTAGTGATTTATTTAATAATGTAATTATTTTAGTTTTCAGTTTGGATTTATAAATCAATGTTTGTCATACTGTAGAATAAACTAGTACTCCTGTCTGACTGAACCCACAGAAAAATACTGACTTGTCGCGCGAAATACAAAATGGACACCAAACAATGCCCATAGTCTATAGTCTATAGTTTCGATTTTCAAACCATTGAAACCATACAAAGTATACCTTGTGCCTTACGACTTTCAGCTTAATTAAGCTTTAGTCTCGAAAGGATTTGTAGAGCTAGATGTAAAATTCCTCACAGGATGTCATCTGAAAAACTGTTCAGATGTCTTATATCTGCTCGGCCAAAAACACGTCTCAGGTAAACATCCAGTCACACTCACAGTCTAATCTCTGCAACTCGAACTGGCGATTAAGTTTTGTTCGTTAAAGTCAAGAGTAGGGGGTAATTTTACCATAATGATGTTTTGCAGTTAGGTTTCTTCCCTAAAAAATATTCGGACTCTGATTCTTGGGTGCTTTTTCGGTAGTTCCCACCCCCCTTATTTGAGCCTGACCTACATCTAATATCTATTGAATTGATCTAGATTATCTAGATCTAGATTTAGATCTAGATATCTAGATCTAGATTCTAGATCTAGATCTAGAGAATATAGATCTATTAATTAACGCAGTGGCTATTTTTACGGCGTGCCGTAAAGATAGCCTCCCAGTGAGTCCCAGGCTATTTTTACGGCGATCCTCGAAAAGCGACCCTACTCCGCCTCTCATGTACGCGACATGCCTCAATGTATTAGATCTAGACTAGGCCTATAGTACGTAGGGACCGTTCAAAATATAAACTTACACTTCA